ATATTACTTGGCAACAAATCCACTATTGGTTGTTTTCAGTTTTCTCCAAGATGAGCAAAGCTGCATCTCTGTGTACTTATTCTTCTGTTTCTGTAGGTTAAATTTTTTGGAATTTCTGGCCAATTTATAAACACATCTTAAATTTTGATTACTGTTGTTTAGCTGCCCTCCAGAAAGATTATACAAAGGGTATAGTTGACAAGAATACTTGTTTTTCCATGTTTAACTTTGTTTATAGTTTTTAGGTTTTTTGGTTTGGTTTTGGGGGGCAGTAATGAAGTTTTTAGTGTCATTGTTGCCAAGTCCATCAGTCTTTTCTGTAATGGTTTTTTAGCCGTTGGGGTCATGCTTTGAAAGTCTTTTGTACTCCACGTTTATAAAGATATTCACCCATAGTTTTCTGGTACATTCAGGGTTTTTTAAAATTTATAACTTAATATCTTTAAACTTGGTTTAAAAAAATAGAGGATCTTTGTGTTGGAGTCGTTTTTATGGTAGAAAAATTTGAGGTACTTAAGGTTACTTTTTAGATATTAGATAGACTTAGTCTTAGCCAAGTGTGGAAACAGTGTTTTTCTTCTCTTTATTTTGGCTTTGCTGGTACTTCAGCCAGTTTTCTGTCTTATAAGACTTGAGTTATGTACAAAGCCCATCAGGTCTGCTCAATTAACCAGCCACTCTTTGAGTACTCAGATTATAGGTTTAAAGATATATAAGACCTATAAAAGACCTATACAAAGATAGGGATATAAAAGACCTATAAAAAATTTATCTAGAATGCCTGAAGTTTCCTCTTAATGTTCTTTGCATTCTGGGGTCTATGTTATTTTATTACATAAGTGCAATACCTGATGACAGTGTTGGTAATATAAAGGAGATAAGTAAGGTGAGATAATGATATATATATTTATATATTTTATTATAAATATATCTTACATATATTATATTTATATATGTGATATATATTATTAATAACCTTCTAACCCCGAAATTCTGTGAAGATTCTTTTTAATTACAGGCATTTCATGGGTTCAGGTAAAACTTGAGGAAAACAAAACAAATGATCAAAATTTTGTATAGTTTATCTTCTTTGTTATTGCTGTAGCAGCTTTGTCCTTTTAATTATATCATACTTCAAAACATCTTGAAGTTCAGTCCTTAGTGCATTCATTCTGTGTTTGTAAAGGAAGAGTTCTTAAAGTGAATATGATCTAAAATCACTGCCATATTAAGAAAGCTTTGCTGTCTCTAAAGACAAAATGATCAATAATTATTCTTCATTGGAAGTAATAAATTGCATTTTATTAAAACGCATACCTGTTTGTAGGTCAGATAATTGAGAGACTGATTCAAACATGCTTGTTTTAAACTAGAATCTTAAACTCTCAGCTGACAGTTTCTTAGTGAGCAAATGTACATAAATACTTAGTTTCTAAAAGTTTTACCAAGGTGTTATCATGAATTTAAGGCTTAATATCTCTATGCTGTTCACTATATGTCCTTATACTCTAGTCATAAATCATAGGCGATTAGTTATAAATAATTACAGATAGTGGTTCATATAGTACCTGGTACACAGTGGACATTTGATAAATCAATTTTATTTGAGTTGTTACATTTTATAAACATGCTACTTAGTATTAAGAAAATGAAAAAATTGCACTTTAAGATACATATAAATAGTTCTTAGAAAATGTCATTCTATTTTCTAGTTATATTATCTGATTTATTTAATGTTCAAGTCTAATAGCATAATTAATTTTGAGCATATTCTCACAGACTTAATAAATGTAAAAGTCAACAAACAGACCCTTGCCACTTGTGTGAAGTGGCTATTTAACCATGAAATAAACTATTTTTATTGCCATTGCCCCGTGGATATGTTCTTTCTGGCAGTGCTGTCCATATTTGGTGGCTATATGCATGGAGAGCCAGGTGGTGCTGAAAACCATCGCACAGTGAAGCGTGGATATATCTAGGTTTGACATTTGTCATCCCTTACTGCTGAAGGGAAGGGTAAAATCTGTTTTTCCATATGCTTACACTTTTTTTGCCTGCAGTTTTGACCAGATGGTCTTATGAACATTGTTTACTTTAGGATGCTATCCCAGATGTTTTGAAAACTGATGGGTAAATGTGGTACACAGATACATAAATCATTTGCATATTATGGTTTAAAAAATGCTATTTGGTCTTATAAGACTAAAATATAATTTATTTCTGGAAGTATTTTTCCAAGTGAATAATAAATATATATTTATGATATATATTATATATTTATATATAGTTAATATAATCTATATAATTTATTTTCCCCAACGACTCTGTTTTCATATTAATAAGCTAAAAAATATTATGGCAACATTTATTAAGGATGTTAACGAAAGGAAATACTTTTGAGAAGGCATGTTTGTTTGTGGTTGCATATACTCAAATCTGTAAGAATCTTTCCTGCTAGTTTTTGTAATTCTTCTCATTGTGCATAAATCACTGAAGAGAAATTACCTGGCAAAATGACAACGGATTTATAATCAAAAGATTATCATTATAACCTTGGGCAAATCACTTAACCTGTTGGAAACTGAGTTTTGTTAGCGTAATATCAGAGTAACAGCCTTGCCCCAAAAGATGGAGCACTGCTTGGATTTAATTACTCTTTCATCTTAAATCTCTTAAAAATCACTGTGAAACCATCTAGTGGCAACAGCTATAATGTGAGCCTGAAACCGGCTAATTCTGGGCTTTAGTTAGAATCTCAGATATAATTAAGAGGTGGATTGCTCTCGTTTGCAAACCCAGCCAGGATCTGTATGGGGCTTCCTCTCGTTTGTGTAGTGCTTCTTACGCACTGGCTGGCTTTTTTCATTTGCTTTTACATTCCCTTGTAGGTTTGAAGACTGTCTGGCCTTTTCCTGCTTTTCCTTTTTTCTGTGCCTGGACTCTGCACCTCAGTGACCTTCTCCATTGATTGTACCAGCCTTTGTCCCCAAGCTCTGTAATGGGGTTTAATTTTTATCACTTATTTTATTATCTGGAGGACAGGAGAAGAGATCTATTTTGCTAGTGCTTTTCTCTGTTAACTCAGAATTCTAGGGTTGGGCGTTAAAAACAGCTCTTCATTATCTAGACAACAGATATCCAGTAACAACCAATAATGTTTAAAGAATAAACAAACAGGAATAAAGGAGAAAAACAGGTAATAGAGTTTATGATAAAATATTGCATCACAGGATAAAAGTTAAGAGTTGAAAGAAAATTTTTTTCCTTGTAATAGATTTGCTTAATGAAAGAAACATCTGAGAAACCACCAATTTATTTCTCTCAATGAGAGGTTTCCACGTGTCAGAAAGAAAAGCCAGGATCATGAAAACCACAAAGTCAATGTAAAAGGCAAAACTCATATTAGCAATTCAGAAAATCCAGTTAGAAATGAGATAAACTTGAGGGGAACACCCCCAGAAAATATAGGAAATGATAAAAGAGAGAAAAGTGAGAGCAGATAAACAGGGGACATGAAGGATAGTTCTTGAAGATACGGATTTTGGCACAAATAATTTCGGGGGCCTCTCTGGGCTGTTTTTCACGCTCTTAAATAGTGCTTAGCATGCCAGGTGCTTTGCAAAGCAAATTTAACTCATTTGGGCCTTCCCTGGTGGCACAGTGGTTAAGAATCGACCTGCCAATGCAGGGGACACAGGTTTGAGCCCTGGTCTGGGAAGATCCCACATGCCTCAGAGCAGTTAAGCCCGTGCGCCACAACTACTGAGCCGGTGCTCTAGAGCCTGTGAGCCACAACTACTGAGCCCACGTGCCAAAACTACTGAAGCCTGTGCACCTAGAGCCCATGCTCCGCAAGAAGAGAAGCCACCACAATGAGAAGCCCACGCACTGCAGCGAAGAGTAGCCCCCGCTCGCCGCAACTAGAGAAAGCCCGCATGCAGCAACGAAGACCCAATGCAGCCAAAAATTTAAAAATAAATAAATAAATTTATTTTAAAAACATTTAGCTCATTTAATCCTTATGAAAACCGTGTGAGGGCTTCCCTGGTGGCGCAGTGGTTAAGAATCCACCTGCCAATGCAGGGGACATGGGTTCGAGCCCCGGTCTGGGAAGATCTTCTTTTTATTAGTTGGTATTCTCTTGTAAGGAAAAGTTTTTTCTTTTATCCTCATTTTAAAAATCTATTATCAGGGCAGACTCATTCTCATTTTGTTCAGTGAATAATAATTTATCAGTACCCTTCTTTATTTTGATATTCAAATTGTTCCAGATTGGACCACTGGGAACCTGTTTAAAATGACGCCTGTGTGTTTTGATGTACCGTTTTTTTTTTTTTTTTTGGAGCACTTCCTTATTTTCTGGCATAACAAAAATGTTATAGGCTCATTTGCCTCTTTTGCTGCCCCAGGTTTAGAATCAGCCTTTCCTTCAAGGGGTCTTCATTCCTTTTAGTGGGAATGGTGTTTAGAAACCAAGATCTGGTCCTTCCTACTTTTTTTTAACTTCATTTTAAAATATTTTATTTTATTTATATTTTTTTTGCGGTACACGGGCCTCTCACCGTTGTGGCCTCTCCCGCTGTGGAGCACAGGCTCCGGACGCACAGGCTCAGTGGCCATGGCTCACGGGCCCAGCCACTCCGCTGCATGTGGGATCCTCCCGGACCGGGGCACGAACCCGTGTCCCCCGCATCGACAGGCGGACTCCCAACCACTGCGCCACCAGGGAAGCCCCTAAAATATTTTATTTTTAAATTCATCTGGAATTTATTCTACAGTATGGTCTGAGGTACGGATGTGTATATTAAGATGAATTAAAATTAACTGCTTTAGCAGTAGGATACAAAACAGGAGATACTTCTTTGCGTTTGTATTCTTGCCCTTCAGGAACATTGATTCAGAGGAAAATCTTATTTAATTTTAAATAATACATTTAAATTACGTCAAATGATATGTATTTAATTTTAAATCTCATGTCCATTATGTTTTCTCTAACTTAGATGCATTTTCTAGAATCATAAAACTTTATGAAGAAAAATGTGAAACAGGTGATAAAAAGGGAAGAAAAGACAGCAATGTAACATCTGTAAAAGGAATTACAAATTTAGGAAATACTTGCTTTTTTAATGCAGTCATGCAGGTAAGAGCCATGAGAAAACTTTGTAAAATGTAATTATATTATATTAAAATAAAAATAATATAATATGTTAAAATTATATTAATTAATTTGTGTTTATTGGCACACCTGTGGACTGTCACATGACTGCTAAATGTTCGTCTAGAAGTCTGTCTGTTTTTGATTGGTTAGGCTGTCTTTAGCCATTGTCATACACATACATACTCCTTCTTTTTCCACAGTGCTTCTGAAAGATCTCTGTATTTTACCATGGCTCTGTCAGTAGTAGTGACACTTATTAAATGTAAAATGCATTCAATTAAATTTTCTAAAACTTAAAAATATTTTTGCTAGGCCAGATGACATTTGAAGCTTTGGGAGAGTATTTATTCTGTAAAATCAGAGGCATATTATAACTGAATCAGAAGATGTTGCTTTTGTTTTCTTTCAGAATTTGGCACAGTCTTACATCCTTACTGAACTGATGAATGAGATCAAAGAACACGGTACAAAACTCAAGATTGTTCCTTCCTCAGACTCTCCACTGGTGAGAAATATAATTAGCTGGATAATAGCTCTGTTTAGATAAGCCAGTGATGTTGCCAAAACCTATCTTTCTTATTTGTCACAACTATCAATTGAGATGGTAGTCGGAGAATTTGAAAAAATAATTCAGAAACATTTTGTGAAAATAAACGATAAGATTTAAAACTTCTAAAGTCATAGCTTTAAAGTATGTTATAATTCAAACATATCACGGGGTCAGACAGCACAAAAAATGTTGAGGCAGCTTTCAAACAGACATACTAGAAAAGACAAACGGTTTTGCCTTTTGTTGAATGAAATGTCTAGGATTCCTGTTTTGTAGTTACTGGTGACAACTACTTAAATACAGCATTTTTGCTCTTTAAAGGTAGATTTAATTTTAATAGTGACCATCTAAAGGTTATTTGGAGCCTAATTTGACATTGGGTTTTTAAACTAATGAGAAAGGGAAAAAAAGGCAGCCTTTGACATTCAGAAGCTAGCCTGACACCCACAGTTAGGCCATGTTATTCAAACAATCTCACAGAATACCAGACTCGAGCTAGGTTACTCCAAGACTGTTACGATGAGACAGAGCAAGGCCACTTCATAATTTTCTCTAAACACAAACTCTACCACTTAGAAAATCCCAAACACCCTCTTTTGGCCTAAATGAGTCACTGCGACTTTTTTTTTTAACTAGTTACAGCTTTATCCTCATTCTAGCCTCCTTTTATTGAGATGTCCAGTTGTAGAAATACCCTCACTTTCGGACAGCATCCAATTGAGAGCAGACCTCTGCTTCCTTAGATTATTTCCCTTAGATAACTTCTTCCCTAAATAACGCAACTAAAGCCCAAATTCTACATCAGTTCTTTTGAATACCCTCTGAGAGACACTCCATGGTTCCCCATTGTGTGTGTTCTCCCTCAGTAGAACAAGTAATAAACCCACCTTGTTCAACTACAGATGTGTTCCTGGTGGTCTTGGGCTGGAGGGCATTTACACTAATAGTTATGATTTCAGTTAGAAATTGATTTGTGTGTGCGTGTTTTAGAAGAACAGAGAGTGAATGTATAGCTCATGATCTGGCTTTTGAAATACTTAAGAAAGAGGAGTTCTAAAAGTTCTTAGCCCAGTGTAGTAATCTTAGATTTTTCTTCCAAGGAGGCAATTTTTAAAGACAATATTGTTGTATTTTTTTGTTGAAAAGGCAGTCTGTAAACTCATTGCCTGTTCAGCCTCTTAAAATTTTTATGTTAGAGCCCAGTGCCCTCTTCTAGATTGTAGTGAGATAGTGAAGACTACTTTACTAAATGGAAGTTAATGCTAGTCATTTGAAAAGATTTCTTATTAACTGTGATTGGATGTTAGGTTTAAGTATTTCACATGTGGAGCTGTGAAATTACTATATATGGCAATCATATTATAGCTGATCACTCTAGGTTTGTGTCATTCTAAGAGGGGAATTTTCAATCTTAGGTCTTAGTTTTTTAGGACATACAGCAGACCTGGGCTGTGGGACTATCAGTGTAGATCACTACTCTTTCAGTCACCAGTTTTATTTGGTCCTTCGTAACCTGTATGCCTTTTCTTTCTTTTCCTTACTTTATTGTGCTGGCTCGAGCCACCAGTAACATGTTGAATAGAAGTGATGAGAGCAGACATCCTTGCTTTAATCCCAAAATTAAGGGAAAAACACTCAGTCCTTCATTATAAAGAGTAGGTACAGGGACTTCCCTGGCAGTCCAATGGTTAAAACTCTGCACTCCCAATGCAGGGGGGATGGGTTCTATCCTTGGTTGGGGAACTAAGATCCTGCATGGTGAGGCCATAAAAAAAAGAAAAGAGTAGGTACAAAATAAGCTACAAGTTATATTGTACAACACGGGGAATAGCCAATATTTTATAATAACTATAAATGGTGTATAACTTTTAAAAATTATGAATAATAATATTGTACACCTGTAACTTATGTAATATTGTACACCAATATACTTCAATTTAAAAAAAAAAAAAGAGGATTTAAGGCTAGACACTGCAGGGGCTTCCCTGGTGGTGCAGTGGTTGAGAGTCTGCCTGCTAATGCAGGGCACACAGGTTTGAGCCCTGGTCTGGGAGGATCCCACATGCCGCGGAGCAACTAAGGCCTGTGAGCCACAACTACTGAGCCTGCGCGTCTGGAGCCTGTGCTCTGCAACAAGAGAGGCCGCGACAGCGAGAGGCCCGCGCACAGCGATGAAGAGTGGCCCCCGCTCGCCACAACTAGAGAAAGCCCTCGCACAGAAACTAAGACCCAACACAGCAAAAATAAATAAAATAATTAATAAACTCCTACCCCCAACATCTTCTTAAAAAAAAAAAACAGACTAGACACTGCACCGAAAAAAAAAGAATGAACTTTTTAATTAATTGATTTATTTATTTTTGATGTTGGGGGTAGGAGTTTTTATTAATTAATTAATTTATTTTTGCTGTGTTGCGTCTTCGTTTCTGTGCGAGGGCTTTCTCTGGTTGTGGCGAGTGGGGGCCACTCTTCATCACGGTGTGCAGGCCTCTCACTATCGCGGCCTCTCTTGTTGCGGAGCACAGGCTCCAGACGCGCAGGCTCAGTAGTTGCGGCTCATGGGCCTAGTTGCTCCGCGGCATGCGGGATCCTCCCAGACCAGGGCTTGAACCCGTGTCCCCTGCATTAGCAGGCAGATTCTCAACCACTGCGCCACCAGGGAAACCCAAAAAGAATGAACTTAACTGTAGGTTTTTCACAGGCGTTCTTTATAAGGTTGAGGACATTCCCTTCTATTCCTAGTTTTCTGAGCATTTCATCATGAATGGATGTTGAATTTTGTCAAGTGCTTTTCCAGCATCTACTGAGATTATCATAGTTTTTCTTCTTTATTCTCTGTTAATGTGGTAAGTTACATTGATTGATTTTCAAATGTTAAACCTATCTTGTATTCCTGGGACAAACCCCTGTTAGTTATGATGTATTCTTCTTCTTCTATGTTGCTGGATTCAATTTGTTAATATTTATATGAATATCAGCAGTGTGCTTACTTTTTTTTTTAACATCTTTATTGGTATAATTGCTGTACAATGTTGTGTTAGTTTCTGCTGTATAACAAAGTGAATCAGCTATACGTATACATATGTCCCCATATCCCCTCCCTCTTGCGCCTCCCTCCCATCCTCCTTATCCCACCCCTCTAGGTGGACACAAAGCACCGAGCTGATCTCCCTGTGCTATGCGGCTGCTTCCCACTAGCTATCTATTTTACATTTGGTAGTGTATATATGCCAATGCTACTCTCTCACTTGGTGAGCTTCCCCTTCCCCCTCCCCGTGTCCTCAAGTCCATTCTCTACGTCTGCATCTTTATTCCTGTCCTGTCCCTAGGTTCCTCAGAACCTTTTTTTTTTTTTTTTACATTCCATATATATGTGTTAGCATACGGTATTTGTTTTTCTCTTTCTGACTTACTTCACTCTGTATGACAGACTCTAGGTCCATCCAGCTTACTACAAATAGCTCAATTTCATTTCTTTTTATGGCTGAGTAATATTCCATTGTATATATGTGCCACATCTTCTTTATCCATTCATCTGTCTATGGACACTTAGGTTGCTTCCATGTCCTGGCTATGGTAAATAGTGCTGCAATGAACATTGTGATACATGTCTCTTTTTGAACTATGGTTTTCTCAGGGTATATGCCCGGTAGTGGGATTGCTGGGTCATATGGTAGTTCTAATTTTAGTTTTTTAAGAAACTTCCATCCTGTTCTCCATAGTGGCTGTATCAATTTACATTCCTACCCACAGTACAAGAGGGTTCCCTTTTCTCCACACCCTCTCCAGCATTTATTGTTTGTAGATTTTTTGATGATGGCCATTCTGACCAGTGTGAGGTGATACCTCCTTGCAGTTTTGATTTGCATTTCTCTGATGATTAGTGATGTTGAGTGTCCTTTCATGTGTTTGTTGGCAATCTGTATATCTTCTTTGGAGAAATGTCTGTTTAGGTCTTCTGCCCATTTTTGGATTGGGTTGGTTATTTTTTTGTTATTGAGCTGCATGAGCTGCTTGTAAATTTTGGAGATTAATCCTCTGTCAGTTGCTTCATTTGCAAATATTTTCTCCCATTCTAAGGGTTGTCTTTTCATCTTGTTTATGGTTTCCTTTGCTGTGCAAAAGCTTTTAAGTTTCATTAGGTCCCATTTTATTTTTGTTTTTATTTCCATTTCTCTAGGAGGTGGGTCAGAAAGGATCTTGCTGTGATTTATATCATAGAGTGTTCTATGTTTTACTCTAAGAGTTTTATAGTGTCTGGCCTTACATTTAGGTCTTTAATCCATTTTGAGTTTATTTTTGTGTATGGAGTTAGCGAGTGATCTAATCTCATACTTTTACATGTCGCTGTCCAGTTTTCCCAGCACCACTTACTGAAGAGGCTGTCTTCTCTCCACTGTATATTCTTGTCTCCTTTACCAAAAATAAGGTGACAATGTGTGCGTGGGTTTATCTCTGCACAGTAGTGTGCTTACTTTTAAAAAACTTTTTATTAAAGTATTCACACAGAGGAGTGTACATCATAAATGTAGAGTTGATGAATTTTCACAAACTGAATACACTGAACTGAAACTAACCAACATTTTTCTCAAGAAACAGAGCTTTACTAGCAGCTAGAAGCCCCCTTCAGGTTGCCTTCCATTCCCTGCCTTCCTGCCTCACAAGGATAGCCACTAACCTGGTTTCTAAAGGGCAGATTAGTTTTGCCTGTTTTAATATTATATATAAATGAAGTTATACAATATGGACTCTTTTACATTTGGCTTCTGTCAACATGTTAGTGAGATTCACCCATATTTCATTCTCATCAATAAACTTGCTTTTGTTTTCAAAATTTAAATATACTTTTAAAAACAGGTTATTTACTCGCTCAGTTCTGAAGTTTTTAAACTGTCTCAAAATACTTAAGTTGGGAGCAGGGGATACTGCCCCTTAGTGCTTGAGCTTTGAAACTGCCTTAGCTTTTACTTTTGACCCTTGAGGTAGCTTTCAATTTACTGAACATTGCAGAAATCACTTATGATATTCAAAAGCTATAGAAAATTATAGCCTGTCTTTTCTGTGGTTTTAGCCAGATGGCTGATTTTTAAGGATAGTTGGTATGAAATATATATGTAATTTGTATTTCATGAGTTTATGAATGAGACAACATATGTGATAGTTGTCTTAGAAGATAACATTCTATAGAGTCTGAGGATTATATTTGGGATCTGCTTTTTATTCATTGTCTGTAAGGAGAGGGGTTACTAGCAAGGATAACATTTTAGAAGATAAAACTTGACGGGGAAAAAATTCTAGAATAAAGAGTGTTGCTCCTTCACACAGTTGTAGCTGCTTTTGTCAAACTGTATGTCTCTCTCCTTTAAAAGAGGGAGATAGTGTACCAATTTGTGACATAATTTCTCATTCCTTATTTTGTTAGTAAAATATTTGGGGAAAAGAAGAGTATGGGGTTTTGCTCATAAATGTAATTTGTGATTATTTGTGAATTTGTACAAATTTGTGAATTTGTACAAATATCAAGTCGATGAGTAATTTTATTTTAGGAGAGCACATTAAGGGACAGTTACAAGCTGGTTTTTCACTCTTAAGCTAATAGTTTTATTAAGTAAAGGGCAGAGGATATGAAAATACCTGTATTTTTCAAGGTAAGGCATTTAATTTCATTTTTTATATATTCATCTTATATACACTTGAGGTGATTTAGTCATCATTTAAACAGAGTATAACTTAGATTTTAAAAAATATTTTATTTAAAAATTGTGTATTTCTGATATAGAGTTGATCATGTTTTTAAAGGACCCATTAGTGGTGGAACTTTCAAGCCCTGGACCATTGACCTCAGCCTTGTTCCTGTTTCTTCACAGCATGAAGGAGACTGAAAGAGGACCGCTTTCTCCCAGAGTTCTTTTTAATCAGCTTTGTCAGAAGTGGGTACATCTACATTCTTAATATAAGTAATCATGAGTTATAAAACACTAACGTGTTTATCACTTAATATGAGTAGTTTGACTCTGTGGCATGGCTGTTATTGCCTAGACTACCAAGAGAAAGAACTAACATTCGTTTAGTTGCAGCTGTGTGCCTTATCTAAATTATATCTCATAATACTCTGAAGAAGTGATTGTTTATCCCCATTTTATATATAAGGAAACTGAGACCCCCCAGAAGTTGAGTAGCTTACCTTGTTTCATGGTGACAAAAATAGGGTTTAAGTAGATATCTGTCCTGACTCAGAAGCCCATGATGTAATACCATAAAGTGAGAAAATTATAGAATTATAAAATCTAAGAGTGCTATAATAGATCATCTAACCTAGTTTTCTTATTTTTAAAGATGAGCTTTGAGGCATGCAGAATTTAAGTAAATTTCCCAAGATATCACAGTATATTTAAAAACAAAATACTTGTGTGCCTAGAAATAAACACATGTCATAAGAGACCTGACATTCATTTATTCCTTTATAGAAATTTGAGATCAACTACAAGTAGTTGCTAGAATCCAGGGGTACACAACTTATAATTTATTAAAAACAGACCCTTTCAGGAGCTCATAAACTAGTCCAGTCCACAATTAGTAAAATATGTAGAAACAAAATTCTTTAAATGTGAACTTGCATTTTTGTATATCTCCAGGTTTTAAAATTTCATTTTAATTTAAGCTAGTTACCTAAGCCATGGTATTGTATTATATTTTATTGCATTTTATTTTATCTCATAGTATTGTACCAATGTTAACTTTCTTTTTTAAAAAAGTTTATTGTGGGGCTTCCCTGGTGGCGCAGTAGTTGAGAGTCTGCCTGCTGATGCGGGGGACACGGGTTCGTGCCCCGGTCCAGGAGGATCCCACATGCCGCGGAGCGGCTGGGCCCGTGAGCCATGGCCGCTGGGCCTGCGCGTCTGGAGCCTGTGCTCCGCGGCGGGAGAGGCCACAACAGTGAGAGGCCCGTGTACCGCAAAAAAAAAAAAAAAAAAAAGTTTATTGTGGAAAGAACACAACATGAGATCTACCCTCTTAAAAAAATTTCAAGTGTACAATGTGTTATTGTTGACTGTAGGTACAGTGTTGAACAGCAGATCTCTAGAGCTTATTCATCTTGCTTGACTAAAACTTGTTCATTAATTAGTAACTCCACTTTTCCCCTCCCCCCTTTCTAGGTACCTCATATAATTGGAATCATGCACTATTTGTCTTATTGTAACTGACTTATTTCACTTAGCATAATGTGCCATGGTATTTTAAATGTAGTCCAAAATATGGAGGGTTTATTATATGTTTCATTTGGTTGCCAGGTGCTGTTTTTTCAAAGCCTAAAGAACAAAAAAGGCCTTTAAAAGTCTCAGAGACCTGGGTGCCTCATAGAGTTAAAAAGTTTTTAGGACATTATGTACTTTAGAAATCTGTTTTTGACTCTCCCCAAAATAACTTTGTTTTGTGTCTTTTTTATGTTCTGGTTTTATAGAGATTTGTAAACATTTTCTAATTATTATTAAAATGATAGGTGCTCATAGATAAAAATTCAGACTACTGTTATCTGTTTTCTTTATTCTATCCAAAAGTGATTATGCATACATAGACATAAAAATAAAGTGTTTGCAACTTGCTTGTTTTGCTTAATGTGTTTTATACATCTCTCTATATTAGTACATGTGGCTATAACTTATTTGATTTTACATATAGATATGTGTGTATATGTGTGTGTGTGTGTGTATATCATTGCACTTACGAGAGTATGTCTGTGGGATAAATAGAATTACTGGATCAAACGTTATTTCAAAATATTTTTAAATTGCATTTTCTTTTGCTTTATTGTATTTATTTTAAAAAGAGATATGTATATATTAACAAAAGTGATTAAAAAGAAAAAGTCAGGTGAAGATTTAAGCCATATATGTTGGGTCTATTTTTGGACTTTGTTCTGTTCCATTGATCTATATGTCTGTTCTTACCCCAATACTGTACTGTCTTGATTACTATAGCTTCTTACTAAGTCTTGGAATTGGATGATGTGAGTCCTCAAATTTTCTTTTTTTGGGGGGGTGGGTTACTGCTCTAGGTCCTTCACTTTTTTATGTGACTTTTAAATTAGTTTGTCAGTTGGGATTACATTGAATGTGTAGATCAGTTTGGAGAGAAATGACATCTTAACAATGTTGAGTCTTCTAATGCATGATTATCAGATACCTTTTCATTTATTTAGGTCCTTGATTTTTCCTCATCAAAATTTTATGTCTTTCATCCTATGAATCCTGCACCCATTTTGTTAGATTTACCTTAAGAATTTCATGGTTTTTTTAATGGTAGTTATTGTAATTTGGTACTTAAATTTTTTTTCAATTTCTAGTTGCTCATTGCTAATATAGAGAAATACAATTGATTTTTGTGTATTGACCTTTTTTCTTGCTTCCTTGCTCAGTTCACTTACTGGTTAGAGTAGCTTTATGTAGATTCTTTGGGATTTCTTATGTAGACAATAATGTCATTGGTAAACACAGACCATTTTATTTCTTCTTTTCCAAGCTGTATCCTTTTATATATTTTTCTTACCTTATATTGCTGGCAAGAATCTCTAGTGTGGTGATGGAGTGATATAATAGACATCCTTGCTTTGTTCCTGATATAAGGGGCAGAGCATTCAGGCTTTCACACATAAGAATGACAAGAGCTGTAGGTTTTTCATAGATGCCTTTTATCAGGTTGAGGAGATTCTCATCCCTAGTTTTTTCTGAGAGATCTTATCAAGAATGGGTATTGGTATACCTTGATTCCTGGCCCAGAGAAAATGAGATAATAAATGTTTGTTGTTTTATAAGAAAAAAGAATGGGTATTAAATTTTACTGAGTGCTTTTTCTGCATCTATTAAAATAATCATATATTTTTTAACCTGTTGAAATAGTGAATTGTATTAATGGATATTCTGAATAGCTTTAGTGAACATATTTGATTTACAATAAACTGTATGTATGTAAAGTGTAATATCAGTTAAGTTTTAACATATGTATACACTTGTAACACCATTGCCACAGTCAATATGATGAATGTATCTGTCACCCCTAAAAGTTTTCTTGGGCCCCTTTGTAATCCCTCTCTGGACTCCTTCCCGAAGCCCCGCCCCAGGGCTACCCCTTACCTATTTTTTGCCACTATAGATTAGTTTGCATTTTTTAGAATTCTGTATACAGTTGACCCTTGAACAACACAGGGTTTTGGGGCACCAACCCTCCCTGAAGTCGAAAATCTGCATATAACTTTACAGTCAGTCGGCCCTCCAGATCCCAGGTTCCACATTTGTTGATTCAGCCAACTGAGGATTGTGTAGTACTCTAGTACGTATTTACTGAAAAGAATCTGCATGTGAGTGGACCCGTACTGTTCAAACTTGTGTTGTTCAAGGGTCAACTATAAATAGAATCATACAACATGTACTCTTTTTTTGGTTTGGCTTCTTTCACTTGGCCTAATTATTTTGAGATTCTTCCATGTTGTATGCATACATTGATTGATTTTTGAAAGTTGAGCCAATCTCTTGAAGATTCTGTTATAATGGTGATTGTCAGACACTTTGACCACTTGTGATGAACTGTTGGGAGCAAGTTCTTCAGCTTTCCTCTGGCTTTTTTTTCCCCTTCAGTATTTTATTTTGCAATAGTTTTGAGACTCACAAAAAGTTACAAGAAGAGTACAGAGTTCCTGTGTACCCTGCATCCAGCTTCCATCAGTGATAATATCTTATATGATAGTAGTGCATTGTCAAAACCAGGGAATTGACATTAACATAGTACTATCAACTCCGGTATAGATCTTATTTGGGTGTCACTAGTTTTTACATGAACTCTCCCCTGAAAGGTTCAGAGATGCTAGAGTGATTCTATGTCTCCATTCTCATTCATGCCCATTTTTAAAAAATATTTATTTATTTCGTTGCATCGCGTCTTAGTGGCTGCAGGTAGGCTCCTTAGTTGAGGCTCGAGGGCTCCTTAGTTGTGGCATGCAAACTCTTAGTTGCGGCATGCATGTGGGATCTAGTTCCTGGACCAGGGCTCGAACCCAGGCCCACTGCATTGGGAACTCGGAGTCTTAACCACTGTGCCACCAGGGAAGTCCCTCATTCATGCCCACCTTTTTGCTTCCTTTATTCCTTCATGTTGCTAACTAGTATTGATGTGCTGAGCTTTCTTTGGGTTTTGTCCATGAAGAAATTACACACACACACACACATATATATTCCTAGTTTTATGATATTCTGTGGTGTGTCACGTACCTTAAGGATGCCATCAAAGTCTCAAAATAAGTTGAAAGTTCAGGGACTTGCCTGGCAGTCCAGTGGTTAAGACTCCTCGCTTCCACTGCAGGGCATGGGTTCAGTCCCTGGTTGGCCTGGTCGGGGAACTAAGATCCTGATTGCATGGCGGCCCAGCCGAAAAAAAAGATGAAAGTTCAGTATGCTATATAGTATTCTGGGTATGTTCTTCAGTATTATCTTCTAATTTACTAATTTACCCTTCAACTGTGTATAGTTTAGAGTTTATCCTATTTTTTGTATTTTTATATCTGTAGTTTTATTTTCTTACTTCTAATATTTTAATTTGCTATCTTATATCTACATGTTCTTATTTAAATTTTTTTCTATATTTTGTAGTATCTGGGCTTTTATTGGCAGTTATGCCTTTATTTTATGCTTTTGGACATTCTCAACATATTTATGGCAACACCTTTGGGACGGTTCTATACAATTTATTTGGAGTGAAGTAAATTCATTTCAGTTGTTTTTAACATTAGATTTCTTTATGTGTTTTATAATACTGGATTGTAGTCTTCTTTGGAGTGAATTTTTTGTTCTTCTGCTCCTGTCTTCAACTCCTTTGCTTTCTCCCATCCTCTCCCTTCCTCATATCCACCTCCTCTTTCTGCCTAAAAATTTTGAATTTTATGATAGCCTCACCCCTTCCCTCCAGGCTGGCCTTGGAGATCCAGCTCTCTTAATGATTCAGTTACCATGCTACCCTGGTTAGCAGATGGGAGAAGAGTCTGTAGAAGGTTTGGCTCAGTTTCAGGTCCCTAGGCTGTGTCTGTGTTCTGTTGTAGCCTTAGGTAACACTTGCCTAAGGGCTTCCTTTCAGGCTCTTGGTAAAATCAACCATCCTTAAACAATGATCCTGGCTCTGGTCTCTGTCTGAAGTACTTTTAGTTTTCTTTACCCTTCAGGGCTGAGCTCTTTCAGGCCTAGAGCCTGTCAAGTCTGCTTTTTGGTCTGCCTACAATTTCATGTTCTAATATTTTTGTTCTGTGAGATTTTTTTGTATTGAATCCCACTTAAGCCTTTTTCGTTTGTTTGTTTTCTCTTTTTATATTTTGTTATGTTTGGAGCAGAGAGAGTTTTTGGATTATGAACAGACTGATTCATCTGCATCCAGAAGACATCTCCATGAAGTCTCTCTTGTTTTAAATTTCTTTGTCTTGGCAGTCTGTTCCTGTTTTATGAGTGTGTATACATTTTCCTCTTAGAATTTGAGATTTCTGCAAGTTCTCAACTCTTTCCCGCAGTAACGCTTTCACTAAGGCACAGTTCCTGTCAATGTTTAGAGTTTCCCTTGTTTTGAATAGGGTGAATTTTTTCATATATTTAGTGATTTTTCTATGTTTATCCTTTAAGTTTGAAGGTCTCTTTTGGTATTTATTGGTAGAGATTCTATAAGTCATATGATTTGTTCCCCAGCCCTAAGTAAAAGAAGAAAGAAAAAAATCTAGGTTTATTAAATGTTCCTCAGTGGTTTAGAAGGCAGTAAGTGCTTTGTGCATGGTTGAGATGGAGCTATAAGTAGAGACCTGGTGAAGACAGTTTCTCCTTTGTTTGGGAACTATTTCTTCCTGTGTGTCTGCTTCGAAAGCCATAAACTATCTCCTCCTGCCTGCCGCCTGGCTGTGAGGCTCTCTGAAGGATCCCCATTTCCCCTCCCAGTCTTCTTCTACTTCCCAGACCTTTCCTGATACCTACAGCCTAAGTGTAGTGTCATGCAATTTCTGCCTTTATGAATTCCAACTGGGGAGGCCCTAAGGGGGTTGGAATTTGTATCCATCTTGGTTTCTGTCCTCATCTCTGATCTAGGAGGTGGGCACTATCCACCACACGCAGAAAGGGAAGCCCACCAAGGGAGTAAGTGAAAGTGTTCTCTACATCATGCTGCTATTTGCTACTTCTTAGCAAGAGTGAGTAACTGAAATGATGGTTCCTGTTGCAGGCTAGATTCGCCCATAGTTCAGAGAGTGTTTTAGCACCAGGGACTCATACTAGTACATTACTAGGATGAATATTCATTATGAGATGATGAGGAATAATGCTTAAAGTACTGGACTCAAGAATCAGAAGACCTGGATTTATGTCAGTGGCACGCAACTTGTTCTTCAGTTTTCCCAAGCGTAAAGCGGAGTTCGTATTACAGTTGTCCCTTGGTATCCACAGGGGATTGGTCCCAGGACCCCCGAGGATACCAAAATCCATGGGTGCTCAAGTCACTTATATAAAATGGCAGAGTATGTATTTATGAATTCCTTAACAGCACTGTTGTGTACATCAAATGAAATATGTGGTATATATCATAATAAGACCATTGTAAACTTGTACTACCATGAGATAGTCTTACTATTTTGTATTATTTTGACAAAATTCTTTCTTCATCTTAGCTCAGAGCACTTTTTAAATTTAGTAATTGTTTGCATTTAAGGGAAAAATATTCATTTTAGCATTGAGTTAATTGCAGTAAATATTACTTTTTAAAGTTACTGAAATCAGCTAAACATTTGCTGTGCTGATTTCTCCATGAATAACCCCTTATCCTTTTATTTAATTAATACACAGGAAATCTGATTGTCAAATTCATAAAATGAAAACCTTCATAGAGATAACAGTTTATAGTTCTTTATATTAATATAAATAATCTCTTGCTTTTCTTTTGGTTATATAAGGTAGGAAGATAATAGATCACAGTAGCTTGGGTTTGAATACTGCTTTTTTACCTGCTGTGTGACCTTGCAAATTAAATAGTCCCTCTGAACCCTTATATATAAGCTAAAGAAAATAGTACATTCCAAGCTTGTTTCAGGATTATGTGAAGCTTAACATGTACTATACTTGGCATGTAGTAGTTGCTTAATAAGTGTTTAGCCATATTATTCTCACTGTACTGAAAATCTCATCCTAATTGGAACAGTAATCACATTTTGTCTTTCTATTTATAGAAAAAGGAGTAAATTGAATCTTTGAATATATGTTATTTCAAGGTGATTTTTAAATAATAATAATATATCATTGATAAAATGTTCTTTTTTTCTTTCCTGTTTTGTTTTTAAATCATAGGGCCCCTGGATTTAAAAGTTTTCAACAACAGGACAGTCAGGAACTTCTTCATTATCTGCTCGATGCAGTGAGGACAGAAGAAACAAAGGTCAGGTTTCTTTGTGTTTATCACATATTCTCTTTAAGAAGAGGGTACAAAACTGAAGGAATTTTTACCAAAATTTTAATGTACGTTTGAGAGTAATTTGATTTTTTTTTAAACTTCTATTTACTCTTCTCTTCCCCCCACTTTTTTGCCCTTTCTACCAGAAGATTATTTTTTCACTCTTTCACAGCTCTGTTACCCTTTATTAGTTAATGCCCTTTGGCTATAAATTACAGAAATTAATTAATACTAGCTTAAATAAAGAAAAGGGAATCTAGTAATCCAAATAAAGGGGGATATAGGACAGGAAGGTTCTCAGGAATCTGGAAAGTATTCTCCTTTTCCCCCCAGTTTCTATGGCTCTATAGATTTCCTTTACCCATCTCTCTGTGGACAGAGTAGTTTCTTTGTTTCCCTGTCTGAATGGTAGCACCTGACCACCATGGCTTGCTGCTTGTGAATCCCAATTCTAAATTCCCAAAAGAGAGACGTCCCATTATCCCATGTTGGATTGCAGTCCACTCAGGAACCAGGAAATTGGGGTCCCAGCCTCCTGGATCAGGGACTGTTTCTGAGTAAAAAAGGACTGGTTAGATTTCCCAAACAGGGTTTATTGTAATCCTGTCCCTTAATTGATTGGCTGTTGGTTGACTTTAATATTAAATTATATTCGCCTTTTTTGGTGGGGTCGTATGCAAATAGTATACAATTTTTCAGAGAAAATACAAGATATTAAAGATGCAAGATATCAAATACACAGCACATATCCTCCACTTCCTCCCTTTCTCTCTCATAGCAGACCCTGCTCATCATTCATAACAGTTCCACTGAGTCAGTGTTCAGTCTGAGAATCATTCTCAACACAGCACTCTGGGCAGCCCCTGCCAATCATAATTGTTAATAACAGGTGAAATCCTGTTTTCTCTTCAAGGTGAATACCCTTCTTAATCTAAATATTAATATGGTAGTAGAGCAACCAGGTGAAAATGAAGTGCTGATATGTTTGTGGTAGGTGTTTACTATGTTACTAGGCAGGGTGGACCCTCCTTTTTTTTTTTAAATTCTACTTTGTTTGAATTGTACATAACATTGTAGTGTTTCTTTACTCCTAATGGCCAGTTTTCAGTGAAGAGAGAGTTATGGTTCTAATATTTTTTCGTAAATTATCTTAAAGAATGAGTTAAGGGCTTCCCTGGTGGCGCAGTGGTTGAGAGTCCGCCTGCCGATGCAGGGGACACGGGTTCGTGCCCTGGTCTGGGAAGATCCCACATGCCGCGGACGGCTAGGCCCGTGAGCCATGGCCGCTGAGCCTGCGCATCCGGAGCCTGTGCTCCGCAACGGGAGAGGCCACAACAGTGAGAGGCCTGCGTACAGCAAAAAAAAAAAAAAAAAAAAAGAATGAGTTAATTACACCCTCCTGCTACCAAACAGTGTATATTACAATCCTATCCTTAATTGGCTGTTGTTAGACTTTCATATTAAATTAGTTGAATTCAGCTTCTGAAGGTGTCATTCCTTTTCTGCCATCTATTTTATATATTTTGATTATGAACCCTACTACCTTCTATTTAGATTTACGTCTATCATCTCTCTTAGATTGTGGTCTCCTCAAGGAATGGTATCCCATGTGCCTTGCACACAGTAGTGCTCAGTGAATGTTGAATATGTTGTCTGTGCTTACCCCCCGCCCCACGCCCTTTTTTTTTTGTTGGCCACGCCTCATGGCTTGTTGGATCTTCGTTCCCAGACCAGGGATCAAACCTGTGCCCCTGGCAGTGAAAGCACCGAGTCCTAACCACTGGACCACCAGGGAATTCCCTGTGCTTACCCTTTAAATGCACAGTATTTCTTGAGAATTTGAATTGGGAAGAAAACAGTCTCTTAAATGATTTATACTAGCTAGTTACTTGGGGATTTGCAGTTATTTTGAATATGTTATAATTTGAATAAACTGTTAAATTGACAGGGTAATTCTGCGTTATGTTTTACCTGTAATTTGTTTTGAAAAAAGTCAGTAAAGAGATTTGTAATTAGTTAAGTTTTGGGACATTAACACAGTCTCCCTGAGCTAATATTTGATCACATTTTCTTAGATCTAGAAACTGATATCAAGAATGGAGATTCAAACTTAAGTCTTTCTGACCTCGAAACTAATTATCTAATTTTATCCAATACTGCTTATTAAAGTTTAATTTTAATTCTTGGTCATCAGTGACTAGTATAAATAACCCATTTTTTAAGCTTGCTATTTAAAATTTAACCATAATTATTTCACTATTTGAAAAAAGTATTAACTCTGATTTAATAACTATGATATATTGATACTCTTATTGAAGGGGTCGATGCAAGGTAGTAAGGTGGAAAGAGATGCTCTGTCTTTGTGTTATGAGTAGTAAATGCATTTTGACCTTCTGAGCCTACAGATGACATAGTAGTTACTTTAGGATTAATTCAAACCATCAGTTGCTAGAATAATATTTTTTCCCCTATGATTTGCAGGATACATTTGCTACATGGTGGTCATGTATCATTGTAAATGGAATTAAAAGTCACTCTTTGCAATGTTTTTCTCTGCTGATATTACAAATAAAACAATAAAATCTATCCTTATAATTTTTTTCTGTTTTACTTGTATTACTTGATGGCATTCTTTGTTACAATTAAATTATTCTTTTGTCATAATGATACATTATGATGATTCACAGTATCTTGAAAACTCAGGCAGTACAGCAGGAAACATTGGTTTTTGAAAGCTCTTATCTTTCTTGCTTTATTTGAGGGTTTTAGATGGTGTGGCAGAATTAAAATGTCAAGTCTGTGGATCTATTCAGTCTCGTAAGCAAGGACAGTCGTGCCAGTCAGTTACAGTGAGTACCCAAGCAGGAGCTGCATTGTCTGGCCTGGGAACTCCGCAGCTGTTAATCGGGCTGCTGTTGTAGTTTGTCTCTGCCATGTGTTTTTTGCTTGAAGGAAGGTTACAGCGGTATGTCTGCCACCAGACTCTTCTAGTGATGATTAAAAACTACTGACCTCTTTTCATATTGTTTCACTAGGGTCTTTTTCTTATGACTCTGAAGTCGAGGAATATAACTCGCTGAGTAGAGAGCTAAAGAAAGGGATCATTTGTGCAAAAATTCTAAATTTTTTATGTGTGAGATAAACAAAATAAAATTCACAATAAGAACTTCTTTTATAGGCAGCCTTTTTACCTTAGAAATATATGCTTCTTTACTTTTTTCCTTTTAATTTGAGCTATCTCTAAATGAATGATAATTACATTAATTACATGCATTATCAAAGATATATCGCTTTAATACATTACTGGGTAAGATTATTTTAAAGGTAGAATATCTCAGCTAACTTAAATTATGAGTGTTTGCATTATTTTTGAAAGAAGTTTAACACGGAGATTTGAACTAGTTGAACATGGGTACTGCTAAATGATTTATGTGCCGTGGTTGTTAGTCACTCCCTAACCAAAGTCTTTTTTTTTTTTAAACCTAAATGGTTCAAAGCACAACAATGAAAGGTTGGAGATGGACCTAAGCCTATTTATTTTATTCAGCTTGATGAACTACCTATTAACTCTTTAACAGTTTAGGGCAGAGAATATAAATTTGTGGCTAGGATAAAATAAAAAAGCAGAAGTCTAATAGTTTAAAAGTCAATAATTTCAACAGCTTAATTGTTTTTACTCTTTTTTAAAAGTGTGATATCATAGCTTACATTTTAGAGTATGGTGAAGGCTCATTCAATTCTACTGAAAGTCGTCTGAATGTCCAAAATTGTAGAATAAATTTACAGACTTCTAAGTTGAATTAGAGGCTTTATCTTTAGTGGCTGGAGAGGCCTTTTACAGTTATATTAAATATTTATAGGTGAACATGAGTATTTATTGACATCTTTCATTTAAGTCCATTAAAAGTTTCTCTTACATGGAATTCACACCATTCTAATTTTCATATTTTAGTTTAATAAATTCTCTGTTCAAGGTATAAAAGTCAAGTTGAGCTTGGACAATATCCAAATTATATAAACTTTCAAGTTTATTGAGTCTGAATTGGAGATTATTTCAATACTTAATAGCTTCTGGGCCACATTATTTCAGTTTCTTTCACATATATTTCAGGAGAGCGTGACATGGTATGGATTGCTGTATGTTCACTTTTACACCCTACTTTGTATCTATGTAAGGTATACATTGCATTAACTTTCAAAACAACACTTGAAGAGAATAGTGAGCAGTTCTAGGAAATAAAATGTGCTGATCATAGGCTAGTTAATAAACAAAACTCACTTTCATAATTATTGGGGGAGGGTGTTAAAAACTTACTGTGAAACATCACACATACAGAAGAATGTGTACCAATATACATATACTTTAAAGCATAATATTATTATAAATGTTATTAGTACTTCTCCCTACCACCACCCCCAGAGTTAAAAAAGAAAAAGAATGTTATTAGTACCATAAAAACTACCTCTTTTTTTCAAATACTTCTTCCTTATCAGAGGCAACCGCTATTTTGACTTTTACAGAAATAATTCCATTGCTTTTTCTTATAGTTTTTGAGAGCTACCTCTGTATGCTTAAATAATATATTGTTTAGTTTTATAAAACTGGGGGGGCTTCCCTGGTGGCGCAGTGGTTGAGAGTCTGCCTGCCAATGCAGGGGACATGGGTTCGTGCCCCGGTCTGGGAAGATCCCACGTGCCGCGGAGCGGCTGGGCCTGTGAGCCATGGTCGCTGAGCTGGCGCGTCCAGAGCCTGTGCTTTGCAACGGGAGAGGCCACAGCAGTGAGAGGCCCGCGTACCGCAAAATAAAAAAAGAGTCAGCTTTCGATTCATTTGTTCTCTTCAATTTCTACTTTTATCTTCATTAACTCTTTCCTTATACTTTTGTTTGGTTTGATGTCCTTTTCTAAATTTATAAGTTGGCTGCTTAATTCATTTGTTTTTATTCTTTTCAACTGATTTAAATATATAAAGCTGTGAATTTTCTTCTGAACGGTGGGAAGTATCTTGGATTCTGATATGCAAAGTTTTATTATTCTCTGGGAAGTCTGCAGTTGGGTCTAATTTCTCTGACATAATAATTTTTTAACAGCAGATTTATGTATCATTTTCACACCAAGAAGTCCAGGTCTAACAGTGGTTTCACATATATGAAAACCTGTGATTAATACTTTACTTAAAAAATATATTTTGAAGAATAATTAATAAGCTTTCCCCTCACCCCACTGTTAAAATGTGAATTAAAGAAGATTAAATTCATCCACTAAGTAGGACCATAAATAGTGTAAAAGATGATAATTTATTAGCTTAAATGTCTTTATTTTTGGAATATATATAGTTTTATTCTGAGAGTTTTTTGTGAGGTTGGATCTTTCCTAAAACACATGCAAGAGATGTGGAACCATAAACCTTATCATTTACTAAGAGTTGCTAATGACTTTAACACATGATTGTTATTGACAACTAAATTCAAATAAAACAACAGTTAAGATTTGGGCTCTTGCTGTGGAGAATATTCTGGACTTTAGTCATCTATGTATATAAGTAAAATAATCTACATGGAGGTCATAGTGACCAGTTTAATAGCTTCTTATGTATTTATATTAAGATTTTCTTCATAGGTAAGAAATTTCCTATGGTCTATTTGTTATTTTTGTCCTAATTAAGGAGTAAATTATTTTAGGGACAGAGTGGGGGGAGAGGAAGAGAGGGGGCAGGAGACGGGGAGAGACAGGGGAGAGAAGGGAAAAGGAGAACTTACTCTAAACCTATAAGCAAAATGAAACCAGGCTGCTTGCTTTTTGTCGACTGAGGAGAATGCTTTAAACCCAAGAGAGAACCTAAACTTGGGAATCTTGACTTTTGTTTGGGGGAGGATTTGGCATTAGAGCGTTATTCATTAATGGAATTTTAGAACTAGAAGAAAGGACATATTTGATTTTTTAAAAAATTCAGTCATTTTATTTTACTAGGGAACTGAGATCCACTGTACCTTGCTGTTTGAAAGTCCTCCTCTTATTACGAGGATGAGGCTCGAGTTGATTGGCACTAAAACCAGATTCTATTTACAGGAACACAAAATAATGCTTTGAAAGAATATATTCTAGTATAGATTCTTAATAAATTCTTATTACTTTGTTTTATAGCGAATACAAGCTGGCATTCTCAAAGCATTTAACAACCCAACTACTAAAACTGCTGATGATGAAACTAGAAAAAAAGTCAAAGGTATGTTGACTCTTTCACTATTAAAACTTTTTTCTAGAAGAAAATATTGTAAGTTTCTTTTTGGGGCAGGGAAAGGAACTGAGCATTATGTGAACTAATGGCCTTAAAAGGAGGGTGTACTTACTCCTGTGGCTGCAAGATAGTCTAATGAGTCATCAAAAGAAAATGTTAGAATCCATGTGAATTTTAAAAAATAAAAATAATATCAAATATACAGATTGACACTGATGCCCTTAAGTGAAGTATCTTATGGGAGACTTGAAAGGTTGTCGAAAGTAGCAACCTCGCTTAGAAGTTCGCTTTTATCACATTGTATCATTTTGCAGTTGAAGTGTACTTAGATAGGTGGATTTTTGGATATTGTCTAGTCTTAACTAGACAAAATGCTTCAGTGCTCCAAAAATTCTCCAAAAATTGCTCCAAATGCAAGGAAACCATTATTTATGAGAGTACTATTAAATCAAGCATACATGTCTACTCCTAATGTTGAGTCTTCATCAGCCAAAATATGAGGCAGAAACAGTGATTAACTAATCAAAGATGATCATTTACAGTGATCAGTATTTAAGTGTGGATTTATATCCCATGTTATTAATGATTTACCTTGTCTGGAAAGTATATTCTGCCTTGAGATAGTAACTAGTGGTAATGTGTAGTCATCATTTATAGAAAATGTTTAAAAATATTATTTGTATTTTACTCTTTTTTAACATCTGGTTTTTTTTGGTAGCATTATGTGTACATACTACACGTCTGTAATTTATAAACAAATATACATACATTATGATTGTATATGACAAACTTTATGCGCAGTTAAAGGTTCAAGATTTTGAAAAATACACTCTCAAGTATACTTGTTCTCTTGTTTTCAGATAGTGCCATCTAGTGCATGTTTAGAATAACTGCTCATTTATTCCTTCACTTCTTTCCAGTTTTGTAATCTTAACCTATTTTCAATCCCTTGTACAATTTTTGTTAATGAAACATCTTAGTTTAACATAACTTCTAAATAGTTATCATCATAATTAATAAATATTTATTGATATATCCAGATAAAAGTCTGCTCTGTCATTCAGTGGTTCAAGTAATGTTCTAAAATGATTTAAAACGTTTGCATGAAATTTGAAGGTAGAGATCAAAAAACGATAGAAGAAAAGTTTGAAAGAGGAGTGAATACGTTTTTTTAATGTGTTTTTCCCCATGGTTTACTATGGAAAATTTCAAACTTCCATTAGAGAGACTAGTATAATGATGACCATGTACCTGTGTGCCCATCACCCCGCTTAAATTACATTCAATTCATGGTGTATTATGTTTCATCTGTTCTCCCCCAACTACATATTATTTTGAAGCAAATCATAAGTACAATTTTCTTTTATTTATAAATATTTCCCAAAGAGAATAATTTTAACATTTTTATGTAACAGGAGTTACATATATAACTGAGTTATTAATTGCCATGTTAGTTCTTTATCCTATGCAGTGTTTACTTGTCTTTTACTACTCTGTTGTTTCCATAGTTATGGTCCTGGCATCTGTAGTCCTGAATCATAATCTCTTTTCCCATCCCTCTATCTACCTCTAGGATAGGCACAGAGGCTTTAAAGGGTTTAGTTGGAGCAGTTGAGTGTGGTATGAATATGGTTAATACTCTAATTATTTTACTTCTTAAGTTTAAGAACAGTTTGCTATTTCTTTGAGACGACAGTAGTTGATAGTCACATTTCCTCTGTGGAATTGTAAAGGAGAAAGACATTATAACATCATATAGTGAAATATATTATTAAATATGGTCCTGGATATCTGCCTTATTCAGATTTCTTTTGATTCAATGGAAAAAAAGCCTATTACATTGTTAGGTTAATGGTTGACATGTTTTTTGCATTAAAAGTATTATTTTTACAGCCTATGGAAGAGAAGGTGTGAAAATGAACTTCATAGATCGTATCTTTATTGGTGAATTAACTAGCACAGTCATGTGTGAAGAATGTGCAAATGTAGGTACTTTGGAATTCACTTCAACATAGAATAGATTATGGTCACATTGTTTTTATTGTTTTCTTTCACATGTAATCATCAGCAGTCATTTATTTTTATTTGTCACACATGACTACATAGTAGTTTTTAAAAGTATTTTAAAAATATATCCTTCACTCCTAGAAAATAAACATAATGTATAATTTTTTTAAGTAAACGTGTTATCTAATTTTTCCTCTTGACACACCTGTGAAGTTCATTTAGCCCATTTTAATATGCTCCAATGTGTTAGCTACTCATTTGGATTGAAAATGAAAGAGAAACTTCTGCGAAGAGAGTAACTATGTTAATATAATTACGTATTGCCCTAAATTGTAATCCCAATAGAAATAATTTAATGTCATAACACAATTTAGGCTGATCTACTTTTTTTTTTTTTTTGCGGTACGCGGGCCTCTCACCGCTGTGGCCTGTCCCGTTGCAGAGCACAGGCTCCGGACACGCAGGCTCAGCGGCCATGGCTCACGGGCCCAGCTGCTCCGCGGCATGTGGGATCCTCCCGGACAGGGGCACGAACCCGCGTCCCCTGCATCGGCAGGCGGACTCTCAACCACTGCGCCACCAGGGAAGCCCCTGGCTGATCTACTTTTAAAGTTTACATTTATTTGACTTGTTGGAGTTGTTTTTAAGCAGACTTGACTCATCTTTGAATTTAGTGATAATTTTCATTTTGAATGCCATCGGTACTTTAATAACTTCTTAAAGAATGTATAAATTTTTAGAGGTTTCCAGTTGCTTGGTAAGGAATATTTCTGAAAGCGTGTGACGTATGATAGGTTTCAACTTCTGTCAGATTTTAATCATAAAAGAGTCTTTATGTCCATCTTCCTGTCCCAGATTATGGAGTACATTTCCCCTCTAGTTTTATAAAGTCAGGATTATATATTATATCTCCTTCTAGCCTGCCATACTGAAGCACAGAATGTATCATCATGATATTACGGTTGACCCTTGAACAACATGGGTTTAAACTGCAAGGGCCCACTTATACGCAAATTTTTTTCAATAAATGCTATCAGTACTGCAGTACCACACAATGTGCATTTGGTTGAATCTGCAGATGCGGAACCCTGGATACTGAGCACCAACTGTAAAGTTATACTGTGATTTTTGACAGTTGGGTGGGATGGGGATCAGCATCCCTAAGCCCCGCCTTGTTCAATGGTCAAACCCCACTTAAATTTTTAGTATATTCAATGTAGAAGTTAATTTCTTTTTCACAAGCTAGAGAGTATCTTTTTTTTTTTTTTTTTTTTTTTGCTGTACACGGGTCTCTCACTGTTGTGGCCTCTCCCGTTGCGGAGCACAGGCTCCGGACGCACAGGCTCCGCGGCCATGGCTCCCCAGACCGGGGCACGAACCCGTGTCCCCAGCATCGGCAGGCGGACTCTCAACCACTGCGCCACCAGGGAAGCCCAAGTATCTTTTAAAATAGAATTATCCTGAAGAATCTACAAAACACAGTCAAGCTCTCTGGCTTTTTTCATGGCTTTTTCTTAACATTTCATATTTTATTTATGTTATGGCCATAATTTCACCAAAAATATGTTTATATCTTCAGTTAATCACTTTTATTAAACACAGTTTGTTTTAGTTACTTTATTTATTACAGGTTAGTCATATTAACAGTATTATAAAATTCAGTTGGGTTGCATTTATTGATGTTTTGGGATATCTTGTTTTGATTAACAATATGTGTTGCTATACCCAATTAAATTACTGTTGGTTCCAGGAACGTTTTTTAACTTAAGATTTTAGTTGCCTGGGAAGTTTGATTTCTTTAAGACTTTACAAAACTATATTGTCTGTGTTAGAATTCTAACTGAAGTTCTCAATATGTTTTCTTTTTAAGATCTCCACAGTAAAAGATCCTTTTATTGATATTTCACTTCCTATAATAGAAGAAAGGGTAAGGAGAAAAAATCTTAAGTCTTCTTGTGAAGGGCATTTATAAATTCATATATTTAGGCATTTGTTGTGTATATTATTAGACATCTGAGCGTCATTACTTTTTATATACAGTAATTGAGTTTGTACAGTGTATGTGATATTGGAGTTTGTATATGTATGCGTAAAGTATGATATAGTTCTTCTTTTATATATATATAAATTTATTTATTTATTTTTGGCTGTGTTGGGTCTTCGTTGCCATGCGCAGGCTTTCTCTAGTTGCGGCAAGCGGGGGCTACTTTTCATTGCAGTGCGCAGGCTTCTCATTGCGGTGGCTTCTCTTGTGGCAGAGCACGGGCTCTAGGTGTGCGGGCTTCAGTAGTTGTGGCACACGGGCTCAGTAGTTGTGGCTCGCGGGCTCTAGAGCGCAGGCTCAGTAGTTGTGGCGCACGGGCTTAGTTGCTCCGCGGCATGTGGGATCTTCCTGGATCGGAGCTCGAACCCGTGTCCCCTGCATTGGTAGGCGGATTCTCAACCACCGTGCCACCAGGGAAGCCCCTATGATATAGTTCTTATTCTCAAGGAATTTAAACCTTTATGCTTCATATTTTGAGAATTAATGTTTAGGAAATTACATTTCAGATGAATTAGAAATTTTAAAAAGTAGATGATATCCAGAATTTATTTCCTAAAGAAGTTTTGTGTTATATATATGGTATCTAATAGGTTTCAAAACCTGTACTTTTGGGAAGAATGAGTAAATATAGAAGTTTACAGGACACAGATAATGGTGAATACAGTGGCACTATTACTATAGAAAATACTCATCAACCTAGAGCCACCAAGAAGCATTCTTCATCTAAAGATAAGGTAAGATTATATGCATTTGTGAGACATCTGTTTTTTAAAACTTTTTATTAAAAAAATTTCAAAAGTACACAAAAGTAAGGAAGTATGATGAACTCCCATGTACCTATTTCTCAGCGTCATAGTCATCATCTCACAGCTAACCATGTTTTATCTGTATCTATCCCACATTTTCCTCCTCACCATCCTAGATTATTTTGAAATAAATCCCCAATATATCATATACTTAAATGTATATCTCTAAAAGATGCTTTTTAAAGACATAACTATTGTATCATTACTGTACCTAAAATATTTAAAACTTCTTAATAGCATAAATATCTAGTCATAATTAAAATTTCTGCAGTTGTCTCATAAAATACTTGTTTTTGCTTTTGAAAGCATATTTGAATTTAGGATCTAAAAAAGATCTATAGATTGCCATGTCTTTTAAATGTCTTTTAATCCACAGATTCCACCTTTTTTTTTTCTTTGCAATTTATTTGTTGAAGTGATCATATCATTTTTTTCAGCAGTCTCTCACATTCCCACATCAATAGTGTTTCATTTTGCATGTTATAGTAATTCAGTTTGTATGTTGTGGTAATTCATTTTGCATGCAGTAATTCATCTGCATGTTGTTAAGAGGTGCCTCTGTTCCTTTTGTTTCCTCTCTAAGGCAGTTAGGGACTTATTGGGTTTAAGTTTGATTATTTATTTAATTTTTGGCAAGAAAACTTTTAAGTGGTGGTGTATGTTTCCATCATGAGGTGCACATCATGTTTGATGTTTCTCTTTCTGTAATGTTATCAGTCATTGATGACCATTGTCTAGACCCATTATTTCTCTAGGGACATACCTGGTTGATGAATTATGCCGTATACATTTAAAGACATCAATCTGAATTTGCACCTCATTAAAAAAAAACTTTTTTACATGATATGATTTGTACTAACTTGGCAAATTAATGTATTACCAGATTTAACTTACTCTGTTAGAAGGTCCTTTAAGGGGCAAGACAACAGAGATTATGCAAAGGTTTACACTTGAAAAGCTTCCTTCATAGCGCTGTTCTACAAAAGTCCTGTTCCCTCTCCATGAATAGGTAACCATTATTGTCGGTTTCTTGTGTAAAAGTTTATTTTCAAATTAGAGCTCTTTGTTAGCATATCTTCTATTGATTGTACTTTGGGTAGATTTAGGAAATGGATTTCAGAGGTACTAGAAATAGTATTTTAGAAATTGTCGAATGTTTAAATAAGACTTACTGGCATTTATTTTCAGTAAGGTCACAAGATTCTTTTCTCTGAAAACACTATCAACTTACAGAATCAACTAATTCATGACAGAAAATGTACAAGAAAATTGTCACCTGGAGAAGATAAAGCTGTTGTCATATACCAGAAAAAGGAAAACCTTGAAATGAATAGAGACTCCTCATCGTCTGCAAGCATCGTGAACACTGAGTCGACTCTGACTGAAAGCCCTACCGACGGCAGTGAAAAAGAAGCCAGCCTTTCTGAAAGTAGTGTTGGTGCTGACAGTGAGGCTTCAGAGTCTGAAAGTGCTCCTAAGCAGACTTTGTTGTTGAGATCCAGCAGTGGATACTTTGTGCACACAAATGGACACCTTCGCCATCCGTCAGAGAGTGAACCACTCACCACGGAGGGTGACGGTGGTGATGAGGGAGTGGCTGGAGCTATTTCTGAACTTCATCTGAGCAGCACTGTAACTGGAGATAGGGATTTTGACAGAGAAAATCAGCCACTAAACGTTTCAAATAATTTGTGTTTTTCAGAGGGCAAGCATATGGTGTCTTACAGCCCCCAAAATGCTTTTCAGACCCTTTCTCAGAGCTATATAACCACTTCTAAAGAATGTTCAATTCAGTCCTGTCTCTATCAGTTTACATCTATGGAATTACTAATGGGGAACAACAAGCTTCTGTGTGAGAACTGTACTGAAAAGAAACAGAAGTACCCAAAGGAAACCAGTTCTGCAGGTAAATATTTAGCTTAATTTTTTTAAAGTATTCATGGATTATCTGATAAACAGTGATAGTGGGTTATAGATCCCACAAAGAGGAGCCTAAGAACCTTGTCTGCGTACTTTAGCTGCGTGGAGGCAGGGGTTGTCTTATCGTATTTGTACCTCAACACTGAAGACACTGACTGGGCAGAGTAACTTTTCAGTAGATTTTTGTTGAAATAAATTGAAGGACGGGAAGTATCCATCTCTGCCTCGAAAATGCAAACCCACATAATCTTATTTCAGGGAACTAGCTATCTGAAATCTTTCCAGAAAAAATTTCTGTAAAACTTAAAATTACAACACTAGTGAGATTAATGTTCTTCATAAATCCCATCAATCTAGTATAAAATCATATCATAAGATATAAATTTGAATATTTTAAGTAACTGTATGTTATAAAGCTAGCAATATAATAACTGTGTTTTGTTGACCAGAGAAAAGTAGAAAAGGGGGATTTGTCAAGTAAGAAATTTCTCGTGTACCTCTAGCCTTGATTACATGGAGAGAACACTCTGACTACTTAGTGACTAGTTGTTTCAAAATGCAGGTTTTATTATTCAGGTATGATAAGTCTAACAGATAAGGAGACGATTGCCACTGAAAAGATAGTTATTACTTATAGTTCCCAAGAGGAGGGGGCATGCTAAGCCACGCCACACAGGGCCACAAGGGGAAGCACCAGGGTTGGTCAGGAGACAGAGGGAGCAAGGGGGAAAATGCAGGCAGGAGCCTTTATTGTGGTTTCTAAGGGAAGGAATGGATGCGGCAGGATAGACAGGCTTAGGATTGACTAGTTTTGAAAATTTCAGTGGACTCTGCAGTATAGGGGCTGTCCCTAGCTGTCTGGTACCTGGCTCTGGTGTGATTAGGGCAGGTGAATAGTGGCCTAGAGTTATTAGAGCTCAATAAAGGAGGTGGTTGGGATATGGGTTTTGGATTGGTTGTTTTGCATATGAAAGGCACACTTAAGTTGTTTAGTATCTAGGAATTAGCTAGATCTGGGAAAAGCCCTTTCCAGTGTCAGCAAGGCTCCAGATGTCAAAGCATCAGAATAAAGACATGATTAATACATTAGTAATTAAAGAAATGTCTATATGGGAGAGGAAGAAACGCCAGCTTACATTAATCCAAGTTAAATATGCAATTAGCCATATTCAAATCCTATCACAAGTCTTTTCTAACAACCTCTTATTGAAATGACCCATCATTCCCATGATACATGATCTCTTTTCACTGCAATGAGTAATGACCCAGTTTTTTCAACTACAGGTGTGTTTCTGTTTTTCTTTGACTGGCGGGCATTGACATAAGTCACTACTGGTCTATTTGCCTTCCAGTTTCCAAAGTTATATTGCAAGTGTCACCTCCCCTATTCTTTCTCCTTATAAGTGTGTGCCTTAAAAAATACTCCCTTTCATATTAGTGGAGTTTTGGGAACGAGTAGAGGCTCCCTGTAATCAGAGGTCTAATTTCTTTTTTAACATTTTTGAAAATGTGGTATGATGCTTCTATTTAAATATTTACTGTATTATAGGGTAGATAATGTATAAGATGGAAATTTACAAGTAACTTTGTTATCTTGTATTTTATGCAGAAAAGAAAGCAGGAGGGGTTTATACTAATGCCAGGAAGCAGTTGCTCATTTCTGCTGTTCCAGCTATCCTAATTCTCCATCTTAAAAGATTTCACCAGGTAAATTCCCTTTAGTAACACTATACAAATTTTCATCGTATGTTTTGCAGAACCCTAAGTCTTGTTAATTACTGTCAAGGATTAGACAGTAATTTATTGAATTTAAAAATTGTCATATGAGGGACTTCCCTGGTGGTCCAGTGGTTAAGACTCCGTGCTCCCAAGGCAGGGGGCCTGGGTTCCATCCCTGGTCAGGGAACTAAGAGCCCACATACCGCAACTAAAGATTGCACATGCCGCCGCAACAGAGACTTGGTGCAGCCAAATAAATAAATATTTTAAAAAAAAATTGTCATATAAGATTTATTGCTTTTTCATCCATAATAGCTTACAAGACTTTTCTAAATAAGATTGTTTAATTCACAATATTTGAAGATTTAGGTGGTCGGAACCTCAGTGGCATGCGTGCGTGTGCACGCACGTGTGTGTGTGAATGGAAAATAAGATATATTAAGAACCCTTAGAAGCAGAGAAATAGCAAGGTGCACATAACTTTCTGAGCTTTCATTCCAATGAGAGTTGTACGTGGGCTGGGTGTGGTTGGCTGGGACCAATTGCAAAAAGGGCTGCAAGGCAGGCCCCACTCTTGTAGGACTAATGGGAGAGAACCTAAATATAATGTATCAAGTTTTTATCTAATTGTTTATAGTTTTAATTCAATGCCTTGTCTCTCTCTGTTTTTTTTTGCATTTGATAAAACGATTTTAAAGTTTCTCTGGAAGAAACTTTAATAATTAAAACAGTATGGTCAGAATTGTCAATAAATAAAATTTGAGTATAATTTAAAGCTCTTTTGTTATGATACAGGATGAATCTCAAATCAGTTGGGGAAGAGGCTAGATTACTCAGTAAAGGACTTAGGAAAGATGGGTGTTTGAAGAAATAAAAATTTAGAGCTTCCTTCCAAACCATATATATCAATGCTATTTTCAGATAAATGTTTTTTAATTGTATGAAACAAATTATCAAAAGACTAGAAGAAAACTTGATGAAAATTATTAACCTGACCTCTGTGTGAAAGATTTTCTAAGTATAAAACCCTTGAAAGAAATCTCAAGGGAAGAGATTGAAAGCTTTGAGTATATATTTGCAACATTTCAGGTGGGCCACAGATGGGCAGGAAGAGATTTTTCTCTATACCCCCATCCCTATCCATGGAAATTTGATTAAGTTCTTGATTTTTTATAGCCAACATTACAGAAACCCAGTGGAAATGAAATGGCCATGGAGAGCAGAAGCAGATGTATTGAGTCTCATTACATCAGAATGTGAAATAGAAGGTGTATATCTGCAGTGACTCTGTGTGAATGAGATAGGGTCATGCCAGATCTGAGAATGATGTAGCAGTTATTTTATATTTGGTACTTGCATCCCTTTTAATAACAACTTACAGAAAGAATTCATGCCCTTAAACGGAGATTTTTATAGATATCTCGGTCCCTTCTTGTTCTCAGGCTAAATGTAATGTCTGCAAAGCCACGTTCTCATTCTCTGGGACTGTGAATTTTACGGATCAGATTCTCTAAGCAATGTCTTTGCTTCTAGTTTTTCAGTGTCCCTGAAAACCTGTTTCCCCGTAGTAACTTTAGAGTTGTATATCAGAAACATCCACAACACTGAAAGGCAAATCTCAACAAGATAGAGCTCTTTGTCATAAATATGGCAAATGATTAATATTGTAAGTATGTAAAGAGCTCTTAAAGATCAATAAGAAAACTATCAAGACTCTAATAGTAAAATGGTAAAGAACATGAGTTGACAGTTCATAGAAGAAGTAAAAATTCCAAGAAAGTATGAAAGGTCCACTCCTTCCAGCAAAACAAATGCAAAATAAAATGGCAGTGAGATTCCTTTTTTAGCCTGTCCAAATTGGCAAAGATTATAATAGTGTTGATAGAAGTCTCTTCTAATAAGGGGTAATTTCTCAATAGCAAAGTACCGTCTGGGGAGGGCACATTAGCCTGAAATCATCTCAGACAATGCTGGTACCAGCTGCTTATAGAGGTCACCTGATGAGAAGAAAGGAGGCAAACAAATTAAATACATATTAAATAATTATTCCAGACATATGACTTCATAATTTCATGTCTGGTATCATGTTAAGACTTCTAAAGATTACTTGAAAATACAAATCACTATGTGGCTATATTTTGGTCAAAAAATAAGTTTTGTTTTGTTTTTTTTCTTTAAAGGTAAGAAATAGGCAACAGAACTGTAGTAAAAGTTATGTGATTAGTAGTATGCAAATAAAATGACTAGTCGTTGAAGTAAGTCATGAAAGCTTTGCATAAAAGGTTGCATCTGTTAATTTTGTCTACCCAAACAACTCAGATTTAAGTATCTTTTTATTCCAAGAGAGTCTGTTTCTATTTGTGGGTTTCTTATCCAATATCTTCGGTGGTCTATCAGCAAATTTTTATCATTACTTAAATGCAAAGTGTACATTTTTCAAGGCCTGCCTTTGGAAACTAAAAGTAGGAAAGAAATAGAGCTTGCTTAACAACATGAATATTCATTTTGATTTATATAATATGTAATGTTTACTTTTACTGTTAAAATGATTTGAGTGTTCAGATTTTTCTCTTTTTAATGAATGAATGTCACTGAATTTTAGAACTGAAGGGACCTAATATAATCCATTTATACCCGTTTTCTGCCTTGATCTAGATGAGGTTGTCTAGAGTCAAGACAACGGTTAACCAGTCGTTGAGTTAGGCCTAGAACACCAGACTCCTGACTCTTCAGTTGAGTACATTTTTATGATAGCATATGTATCAGTAGCTGAGCTTTTATCACATTGAATTTATTTTCCCGTAAGTGTTGAAAGGCACAGTGAAAGCGATTATTTTCATATTGTTTGTGGTAAAAATACCCATGTAAATGAATGATCTTTGCAATAACAGTTTATGAAACCTAATTGAGAACTTAGTCATATATCAGTTTTGGACTGTTCATTAGTCATATTTTATATCTATGAAAAAAGGTCAAGGATTCCTTCCTCTTTTTTTTTTTCTTTGCGGTACGCGGGCCTGTCACCGTTGTGGCCTCTCCCGCTGCGGAGCACAGGCTCCGGACGCGCAGGCCCAGCGGCCATGGCTCACGGGCCCAGCCGCTCCGCGGCATGTGGGATTCGCCCGGACCGGGGCACAAACCCGCGTCCCCTACATCGGCAGGCGGACTCTCAACCACTGCGCCACCAGGGAAGCCCTAGGATTCCTCTTTTGGTTTTAATTAACAAACGCAATGATCTAGATTAAGTTTGTTACATTAAGAAAATTTTTTGTTGTTGTTGTTTTTTGAGGCTGGCCTGAGTCTTCGCAAAGTAAACAGACACGTAGATTTCCCACTGACGCTTGACTTAGCACCATTCTGTTCTGCTACTTGTAAGGTATAGTATATTATTAAGATATTTAATTGTCATGCAAATAATATGCTTCAAAATAGCCTATGTATTGTTTATTAGGCCATGTCTTCCTCTCTCCCTCCCACCTTCTCTCTCTCTCCCCCTCCTTCCCTCCCTTTCTTCCTTCCATCCAACATTTAACACACTATCACTTTTGTCTTTTGGGAGATAGAATAAGTTGAAAAGATGCATAAAGCACGAGTGAGGCACGATGTTCATGAAGATCAGAGCTGCTTGTAAATGCTACTAGAATCAGATAGCTGCTGAGAGAAGTAAGCAGATTTTGTGCCCTCCCCTGTTCCTTGTGAATGTTGTGCTTAATTGACAGTAGTTTTAGCAGTTGAAGAGTTCTTTATCTTTTGTAAATCCATATACTAGTGCATTGTTTTTCATGCCATTTCATGTACACTACTGAGAATAGTGTACTTGTGAACTGAGTATGATACTTTACAATTACTAATACTTTAATACTTAGATACAGAAAGCAAATTGGTTTATAATTGCTAGTACTTGTATGTAAGAACTCTGTAGGTGAAATTGATGACTTTGCTTTCCCTGAGGGAACTACACAGTTCTAGGGTAACTAACATGTTGTCCTGCTCACAATTACTGGTTAGCAGTCTAGGATTTGTGGTACATAAACTTACTGAACTTAATACTTTCAATACATTGATCAATCAAAGCGAAATATCTTAAATGCAATTTTTCAGTGAATCCAATTCATCTGCTATGGAATACTAGCACTATCTGTCAATTATTCACATTCAGTATTCACAGAATTTGATAGTATGGTAAACAAAATATCTAGCAAGCTCTGTATTAAACTTACAAAAACATATTTTTTAGAAGTACCTATTATGGAGAATTTCCAACGTACATCAAAGTAGACAGAACAGTACAATGAACCTCAAGCACACATCACACAAACCTTAGATATATGGCCAGTCCTGCCCCATGCACGTGCTCATCTACTTCCTCCTCTTATATTATTTTTTTTTCTCTTATGTTATTTTGAAGCAGGTATCAGACATCATTTCATTCATAAATCTTTTCCTATACGTGTCTCTAAAAGATAAGAATCACCCCCACCTTTTTAAATGTAACCACAATACCACTTTCACACTAAAAAAATAACAATTTTTTTCATATCATCTAGTGTATATATTTCCAGTTGTCTAATAAATGAAATTTTCAAAATGAATTAGTATCAAAGTAAGGACTACACATCATGATTGAAAAATATCTTTTAGTCCCTTTTAATATACAGTGTCCCGTTCCCATCTCTGCCCCTTGCAATTTATTTGTTGAAGAAACTGGATCATTTTTCTGGTAGTTTCCTATAGTTTAGATTTTGATGATTATTCCTCTATCCTCTTTATTTCCTACAGATAGGTAGTTGGATCAAGAGAGGCTTGAACAGATTCAGGTTTGATATTCCTCCCACTCCCGGTAAGGCTATTTCATAGGGAGTGTTCTGTTCTTTCATGAGGTGGCACATAAATGCCAGTTACCTTTCTGTGATATTAGCAACCAGCGTTGCTCAGTGAGTTCATTAAGAATTACAGAATGGTAATCCTGTTATTCTTTCTTCATTTATTTGCTAGAATACTTCTATATAAAGAGAAATTCCTTTCATCTATTTAGTTATCTTATGGTATAGTTCTTATAGAAAAGACAGGGTAAATGCTCAGTTCTCTACCCGTCTCCCTTTTAAACCAGTTTTCAGAATAATGAATTAATTCACTGTCATCCTCAAACTGCGATCAGTTAATTTATCATTATGAATTCATGGATTTAAACACATTAATAATATTTCAATTTACTGCACTTTTAATTCGTGGTCTAATACGTTAGTCTAATGGGTCTGTTGTTGGCTACTGAGAGCCACTTCAAGTTGGCTCCTAGGTTCTTTTGACATGACCCTTGTGGTTGCTCTCTGAGTGATTATGCCACCAACTGGATATTCATTTGCTTAATTTTTAAATTTTCATTTTTAGGGATTGTTACTTAAATTTAAAAATTTTGTTTAATAATTACATAAAATACGTAGTTTTTATACGTAGTTTACGTAGTTCCAAAGTCAAATGTATAAAACAAGGTAAATTCAAACAAGTGTAGTTTTTCTCCATGTCTGTTCTACTTGTTTCTTTCCTCCCTTTATAGATAACCATTTTTTCAAATTATTGTTTATTCATCTATTATTTTTTTAAATGTAAACAAATAGGTATATATATCTGCATCTCACCTCTTTAATAATAATAGCTTACAATATGTATCCTTTTTTCTACCTTATTCTTAACATTGTATCCTGGAGATTATTTCATAGCAATATTTAGAGATAGTCTGCCCTCCATTTTTCAAATAGCATAGTACTCTATTGTATGGATGCATTATAGTTTATTCAACCAGTCCCCAATTTATGGACATTTGAGTCTACTCCAGTTTTTTGATATTACAGATAATCCTGCAATCACTAGTATGGTACATGTCTTTTTACATATTGCTCATGTTTCTGTGAGATAGAATCCTAGAAAAAGGATCAATAAATCCAAGAGTAATACCTGTGTAACTTAGCTAGATAACGTGAAATATCCCTGAATAGGGGTGTACCCCTTTGCGTTCCCATATGACAGCATTCTTTTCCCTACAGCCCAGCCAATAGAGAATGTTGTCAAGCTTTTTCATTTTGCTGGTCTAATACAGGTGGGAACGTGTGCCAGTATAGTTTTAATATGCATTGCTCTTATTTTAAGTAGGACTTGCATTTGGCTTAATTTTCCTTATAATAAGAGTTCACTAAATATTACTAATTAATTTGAGGTTTTTTTCTTTGTCTAAAAGAATGTAAGTGTGGGAGATAAAGTTCTCTATGGTCTCTATGGCGTGGTGGAACATAGTGGCTCAATGAGAGGAGGCCACTACACCGCTTACGTGAAAGTGAGAACACCCTCCAGGAAATTACTGGAACATATCACTGGAAAGAAAAATGTACCTGGTATGCCATCCTAAATTTATTTTATTCTTAAAAACAAATGAATTCATTCTTCCTTTTCTGGAAGAGGTAAGTTCTTTCATGGATACTTCAAGTGGATTCACTTTAAGTGAGGAAAACCTTTAAGAGTACCTAGATAATCTTAAATATCATAAAACTGTACCCTTCAGGTCATGTGAAGTGACACCCAGTTTTTCAAGGTGTTAAGTCATTGTGTATTGCAGTGGAATAGCATTTTATTTAACAATACCAATAGTTTTTAAAGACATACCAGGTCCTCAGACTAGAGTTGGAGTTGAAAATTTGCTTCAGCAAACTAACTGTGTATTTTCTTCCTTCTCTTTTAGTGCAGATGCCCTTTTCCTTGAATAAATAAATATTCATAAGACTATCTAATATTTCACTAGATATTTAAAGTAAATGATACTAATATTAACGCTTTGAAAGAGTTCATTTTGGAAGATGTTTAGCCCAAGAAGAAACAGCCTTATGCAATAAAGTCTAGCATTAGAGTTTGTGATAAATGTGTTGTCTTTAATGTAAAGTCAGAACATACTTATTGTAAAATTATATTTCTTTTTGTTTTGTTAGGTTTGAAAGAACCTGATGGTGAATCGGCAGGCCAGTGGGTCCATGTTAGTGACACTTACGTGCAGGTGGTTCCAGAATCGAGAGCACTTAGCGCACAAGCGTACCTTCTTTTTTATGAAAGAATATTATAATTATTTGTTAATTGTTAATGATTATTTAGATCACTTTTATTTAAATGCTGCAGCGACAACCATTATATGCAATGTGTCTTTGTAGTCTTTTCTGTAGGAATGGCATGTCCCTCAAATGCTCCTGGACATGTTTACCATTTTGGTGAATCCTTTTAAAGTAAGTTAAATTTACTAAAGCTTTCAAAATTATATTCTTAAAATAAATGTAAGCACATGTTTTTAAAAACATATTTGTCCTGGCAAAAAAAACCCACAGAATTTACAGTAGTAGAGGAAACTCCTTTATAATGTGGCTTATTACTACAAGCATTCAGAAATGATGCTGGCTAAGTCAAATCATTCCTTTAAAACAGTGTTTCCCAAATATGAGTCAATACCACCTTTCTGTTTTCATATATATATGTATATATATCTCCTATGCCATTGTTTACTTATTATTTTTTAAGCTTTTTAAGGCTCTTTAAGCCTATTTTTAGCCTTTTTAAGCCATAGTCTTATTTTGAGCATATTCTATATTTTATGTGCTAGTTACATTTTTTTCTAATAAACATTAAAATAAATATATAACTAAAGAAAAATTGCTCATTCATGTAGCACTTCACTAAAAATCATCTCAGGGCTATCCAGTGGTATATTACACTGCTGTGTGGGACACATTGCTATAACATATACTTACACAATTGGCATAGTGACCTTGTCATATTTTGTATGATTCAACCATATAAAAAGGTACCACTGTAGCTTCAGTAATATGGATTTACAAATAATATACTGGTTAGCTTATTGCTTTGAGGTTTTGAGAACTGGAAAAATACTGAAATATTTTATCAACATATTATTTGCAGCCTATTCATGATGGAGTTGAGAATAATTTGCAAGTGATTAGCCAGTCAAAATATATTTATAGATAATTGTTACATGCAGAATTGGTAAATAGAAGTTGTTAATCCATATGGGACCATAGGATACCTTTGAAATGTAAATTACCAAATCATATTTGTAAATGATAGAGAATTATATTCTTATTATGCTTAATAGGAAAATGTAATACATTTTCTAGTTCTGTAGATCAGTAAATATTAATCATAGTTTTGGGGTTTTGAGATCACCTTTTATCTTCAGCAAGCATCATCAGTAAGTTCAAATAGGTTTAGTTTTTATTTTAATGGAGCATAAAGTTGGCATTTTGGATTTTCTTTTAAAATAATTAATAGCAAACATATGGTAGTTTTTCCCCCCTAGAAAACAAATTATTAAGCTGTCAAAACTTGGCATGAAAATGTTACCATTACTTAGGCTTAAATTTTAAAAAAATGACTACTTTGGTGTTACATTATTAAATCAAAACACATAACTGCATGCTTCAAGCATCCTAATCATTAGGGCTAACGAATGATAGTACAGGCAGATGCTGGGTAAGTGCCTGGTCCTAGTTCATTGTCCTCTTGTTAAGGAAGGATAAGAATAATGGCTGTAGTTAATGTGTGGAAATATTTCATGAAGACTCTCACCCTTCTTAATATTTAAGTATATGTAATATTATCAAGGTTACCAGTGCCGCCTTTTGATATATGGATGAATGGAATTGTGATTAGTGTTAAAGATGGTAATAATATACGAAATTCAGAGCTTAAAAATGTCATTGCATAAATTGTATTTTCAAGCTGTTGAAATTTCAATAATAGTGGTTTTCTTGATTTTTAACAGTGAAATGATGGAGAAATGTATCTTTATAAGTTAAGCTGTAAACTCAGGTTGTGTCATGTAAAAGGTAAACAGTGTTTAAAGTGTTTTCTGTTTAATTGTAATGCGTTAACATTGAAGACTTCAGTACCAGAGCCGTGAAATTTTTTGAAAACTATTAGTTAATCCTCTCTATTCAAGTCAACCGTCTTGGTAATGACAATTACCATCCCCTCCCCCAAATGTAAATATTAAATTGTCTCATTTTTCTCCTAGAAAAGATACCATTAAGAGGCATGCACTTTTCATTGGATGGTCACCTGCTTCTTATTTCATTGATAGATGGATAGATGAAAGAGAGAGAGAGAGAGAGAAAGAAAGAAAGAAAGAGGGAAAGGAAGAAAGAGGGAAAGGAAGCAAGAAAGGAGGGAAACAAACAAGACCATTCTTTTCTGTTGCCTCTTGGCTTATCCCTTACAGAGTTAAGTAGAGATGGTAAGTGATAAGTGAGGGCAAGAATCAAGGAAAGTGCCTAGTTCCTCTTTTCATTGGATGCCAGGAAATGAACTAGTGCTAAATTTATCAAATTAGGAGTTCTTTTAAGCTTTATTCTGAATACCAGTTAAGACTGATTTTTCATTAAGTGAGTGATACATTGTAGCTTCAGAACATTACCTCAGTACTCAAATACCACAGTAGTTTTTATGCTTAACTTCACATTTATTCATTAAGTATATATTTATTGAACATCTACTAAGGGTCAGGCCCTGGGCTGACACTGTTTTAACATGTTTTAAAATGAAAAGGCCTATGTAAGTTTTAGACATTATTCTAGAAGTAATAAGATACTTTTATTTTCATTTCCACAGTGTTAAATGAGTTAATTCTGAAATCTGTTTTTTTATGGCCTAAAGTTTATGAATGCTTTGCTTGTCCAGGTCTGCTGGTAATGGAATGAATTTGATTTTGAGATCTAAGACTTTCCTAAAGATAGCTTTTGTAATAGAGAGAGTATGTTAAGTTACACATGGATCTACATTTAAATTTTTGTTTTTATTTTGAATATTTCCAAAGCACATTTGCAGGGGTACTAAATTGTGAGCTACTTTAGTAACAGTGGCTTCCAGATGACCTCAGGAAACAGTACAAATCAGTGAGAATGTTTACAGATCCTCAAAAAAACTACTATAGTGTTTGGCGAAATGAATTTAAGAAGTAAAACAGGAGTTTAACTAGCTTTATTTAGAAACTGGTTTATATCTAACCTCGGGTTCCCCTAGTTTTTCCATGTTTAAAATGATACATTTTTGACTATATGCCAATTACATGAATATTTTTGACATAACCAAATGTATGTTTATATTTAAGATTTTGTCATTTAATGTTTTTAAAACTGATGTGAAGGCCACCTTTTTGAGTGGCCAGGGAGAGTGGTGTCAGTTCTAAGAGCAGTTCATACCTGTTTTCTTATTGTAAATGTGCCAACAAAACTATTTTACTATGATACGTATTTAAGAGCTCTTAGTTCGCATGTTTGACTTTAGTCAATGATCTTATATGATATCTGAATAAAATTTCCTGAGGATTAAGCTGTGAAATATATCACCTTCATCTAATTTTTGAGGTATAAAATAGTATCTTGCCTACTTTTATTAAATTCATACTCATAATTTGTCTGCGTGCTACCTGAAAAAATAAGCCTAAACCAGATATGTTATGTGCAATAAAAGTGATTCTTTATATATTATCTGCTGCATTAAGAAAGACTATTTTTAGATATTTAAAATGTTCTGGTTCATGTAGAAATCCATCAATTCAAATCTATTTAAAAGATAGATGACTATATTTTTAAATTTTGAGTAATAATTGATTATATATCATTCCTACCATTTTATCTTTTTTTTGCAGTGTTTTTGGAAAATAGCTATGTAACTTATGGAGTATTATTTTGATGTTACTGTATAAACATGCATAAAATATTAAATTCATATTTACTTTATGTTTCAAGATTGGTCCTGGAGTTTTTTTCAATGCACATTATTGACAGAATATTTTGTGTACAAACACTGTATTAGCTTACTTAGTTATATTCAAAATATCCTTCCTATTTCAGAAGTTTATCGTTTCCAAATAAAATATCTCATGGGCCTCTTTCATTCAGATTTCAGTGTCTGCCAAGGGTGAGTCTTCATCCTTTCAGATGTTTCTTTGAGTTTTTTAGGCAGGATAATTCATTAGGAAACATTTTGTCTACCTTTTTGTATTTAACCTTTTTTAGGTCATGAAGCTCTTTGAGATTATAATGAATGTTATAGACCATCTTTCATATTTATTGAATATCTGCTGTGTGGTAGGCATTGGGGATACAGCATTGACCATGGGAGATAGAAATCTCTCCAAGAAGTGAGGAAATAGACATTCTAAGAAGTGAAGATTAAAGAAAAGATATTTCAAATGGTAAATGATATGGAGAAAAATCAAGCAACATTACCCACAGAGCCATATGGGAATTAAGGTCCATGGGATGAAGGATGTTCTAGGGATAAAAGGTGTATGATATTAGTCCTGATAGTCCCAAAGAGAAGCTATGAGTGTTGGAGGAAGTGGAGGGTTTTAATTCTGGGGCCCTCTCCTCACTCCTGCTAATGGCAATAGAGAGGCTGGGAAGGGAAATCTTGGCACTTACATCTTCTTAGAAAAATATATGCCCCAGATTTTTGTAATTTCAGAGGCTCACAGACCCCCTGAAGCCATTTTCATACATTTTTTTTAAGTTGCACTCAGGCAGAAATACCTAAATGTTTGCATTCCCATATGTATTAGAATAGGCTGGGTTATGCTGCAGTAACAAATAACTTCACATCCCAGTGGCTTAGCACAACAAAAGTTTATTTCTTCCTCACCCCAAATCACTGTGAGTCTGGTCAATCTGCAAAAGCAACTGTTTTCCGACTGGTGACTCTGTAATCCTCTGGCTGATTGTCTTCTGGCTCTATCATTTTAATGCCAGGCCTCTTCACTGGCAGGGGAGGAGAACACCAAAGGTCTTGCATCAGCAATCAAATTCTTCATCTTGGATGCGTTGCGCACAACCCAGTGGCCAGAAGTAGTCACATTGGCCCTGCCTAATTGCAAGGAAGGATGGGTAGGAAAGAGTAAGTCTCCCAGGGCTCAGAAGAAAAGGAGAATGGACTAGAAGTCTCTCACAGTCTACCCTCTGGTCACCAAATACTCAGCTCTTCTTTCCACACGTGGAACACAGTGACTCCCTTTTCAAGAGAAACAGCCTCAAAGGACCATCCACCATTCCAGAACCAGGCTCTTTGGAAGTGCTATGTCAGGTCTGGGTGTTGCCCCCACTGGTCTGGAGACCCAGGAGCCAAAAGAATATGTTCTGTTTTCCACACACTTACTGTACAGTGGTGAAACCAGTGGAACTATAACCACCATAAACATTCTAATTCAGAAAGGGGAAGAAGAATGGAGATATTGTCAATCTCTTACCCTGGGCATGGGGAATGTTCATTGTTAGACCTTTCCTCTATTCCCTAAGAATTCCCTTCTCC